TAAAATGACAAAAGGACAAGGCGGGAATACATTTCTCCAGGGGAGGACTGTCATAGGACACTTAGGCTTTCGTCATTTAAAGTTTAATGAAATTTTGCATTGTTTATTGTGTGAGCCAATCAGCAGTCATCAGAAGATGGAGTCATATACAAACATATTTTTGAGGGGTCATATTATAATCTCTCACAAATTCAAATACACCTTTCACTTGATCTAATTCAATTTCAAATATATCCTGTGTAATATTCATTAGATAGTGTTTTTGGTTGTTGTAAAATGTTTGAAACAGTGAGCTTAAATAAGCCTTGATCTTTTCCAGATTAAATACGACATAACATTTGTTTAATTGTTTTCAGACAGGAGCTTGCTTTTATCTCAAGCTGGCCTCACAGGCAATCCTCCTGCCACTGCTTCTCAAATACCGCGTTCATAGGCATGTGTCACACTGAAGTGTTAGCAGTATATTATGGAAATGTGCAACCCTTAAAATGGTTTATCCCTAATACAAAAAATCCTTAGCATGCTTTAAATCACCTTCTTTTTTTGAATCTGTGAGTTTGAGGCCATCCTAATCCAGAGTGAGTTCCAGGGCAGCCAGGACTACACAGAGAAACCCTGTCTCAAAACAACAACAAAGTACAACTCTGAACTTTGTTTTAACCCAAATACAGCCACAGAAAATATGCAAAGGAATGAGTATAGCCATGATTTAATAAAACTTTCTTTACACAGACAGCAAAAAGCCAGAGTTGGCCCACTGCTCACAGTTTTCGAAATGATGATTTTGTTCATTTGACTTTCTCATACATTAGTAGCATAGTATTCTGGTTTTATCGGGTCCTATTTTGCATGTTCTCGGGTCCTTTCTCTCCTTTGGAGGTTCTCGGCTTGATTCCTAAACCACTGCAACTCAGGTAAGGCCCCAGCTTCAACAGAAAGTAGGACTTATGACTAAGCATTAGCGCTAAGGGGCCTAGGAATTGCTAGCACACAGGCGAGAGATGTGGCCTTGCTTCCCCTCTTTAGTGCTCCAGCATCTAATCAGATGGAAAGTTGGGCCTTAGTAACTCATCTCCTGATATCTGGCCCTGCTGAGTTCCCCCTCTTCTAGGATTTAAATGAGTCTTTTATGTTCTTCCTTGATGCTCTCAACCCCCTTTCATTCTTGCCTGGTCAGCTCCAATGCTTTCAGCTGAATTTCTTTCTCAGAAGGTGATGCTCAGTTTTGCCTCTTTTCTCCACTTCATCCCATCTCCATTTCTGCCTCAGGCAGAGCCAGGAGTCTCTGGCACAATTCCTGTCATGACTGCCTCACCCACTAGGCCAACGGAGAAGAGTTTGAGAGCAAGGGTTGTTTCTGTGTACTCTGTGACCAGACTCAAATGGACTCTCAGGCGAGCTTTGTTTACTCAGCATTTACCTGGATTTTGCCGGGAGGAGGAGGAGGAGCTGATTTCTCCCTCTGTCTGGTTGAAGGTTTAGCCAGGGAATGAACTGATTGTCCAGAACAAAATAGCACTCTTGGCTGATAGACTTACTTCTTGCTATCTTCCTTCTTCATAAGGATGGGAACTGCATGCAAGCTTGGTGTTCACATTAGTTACTTTCTCATTGCTGTGACAACGCATACAGCACACACAGCAGCTTAAGGAAGGAAGGGTTTGTTCTGGTTCGGACTGAGTCCATCAGGGCAGAACGTTTCTCTTGTGCTACTAGGGATCAAACCTAGTGCTTCATACATGCTATGCAAGTGCTCTACCAGACCAAGATTTAAAAAACAACAGAGAGAGCCCCAAACTTCCCCCAGGTGATTCTATTGTGAAATCAGAGGGAACAGCTGATTTAAATTTAAACTGGCCTTGCTTGTGAGACAAAAACCCTGAACCCATTATAAGAGCAAACATTAAAGCAGGGGGTGGGGAATGGTGGTAATCATTGATGAAGTGAGCAGAAGTATAAATGGGGCCGAGCAGCTCCATGGTGAGTGAGTGCTTGGCATCACCATAGGGAGAATTAATCTGTGACTGGTCTAGCTCCCTCCATCAATTCCTCAGGGAGAATGAATGGCCTAGTTGTTTCAGTTTATAAATCTGCCTTTCCAGCGGTCCACAGACGGGACTGATGAAGTCTCTGAGTTGAGAGGCTAAAGGTTCAAATGTTTTCAGTGCTCCGTCTCTGGTTTTATTGTTTGCATGCATTACATTTATCATCTAAAGGGTTTTACCTAAATAGTGGATCATGATCCTTCTTCATTATCTGTCCTTTTTATTTTTATAGTTCTTATTTTGTTTTTGGACAAGGTATCACAAAGCCCAAGCTGACTTGAAATTTGCTGTATTGCTGAGGTTGGCTTTGGACTCGTGATTCTTCAGCCTCTGGTTCCCAAATGCTGGAATTACAAGTGTTCACCTCTACTCCTGTGTCTCTTTATGTGTCTTGAGACAAAGGCCTATATAGCCTAGACTGGCCTCAATCACATGATTCTCCTGATGTACATATGCACATATCCTTTTTTTTTTTTTTCCGAGACAGGGTTTCTCTGCGGCTTTGGAGCCTGTCCTGGAACTAGCTCTGTAGACCAGGCTGGTCTCGAATTCACAGAGATCCGCCTGCCTCTGCCTCCCAAGTGTTGGGATTAAAAGTGTGCGCCACCATCGCCTGGCCACATATCTTTTTTTTAGGTAGAAATTTATATTTTAATGTTTATAAACAAAAACCATCAATTTGGTGATGCTTACTCTTCTACCCCACAGAACTTCATACTGTTGCCATACAAGCCCTTCAACTTTGCAGGATAATGAAGTGTGTACCACACTGGGTAACTCAGTAGCACAGCACCCAAATATTTGGCATAAGTCCTTAATTATAATCACTAGCATCCAGCTTGAGTCTTGAATTCTTAACTCTGAAACTGTGGGAGTACAAGATAAGACATCTATGCAAATCATCATAGTAAACCCCAAGCACAGTGTCTCACATATTCTTAAGGCTTGCTTCAGGGACATTCAGCGTCTCCTGAACAAGCAGTCTCTTATTTTCAAGGAAAATCCCATTCAGTGTGTAACCAAACTTCCACAAGTGTCTGACTGACAGCAAGTATGATTTGTCTGAGAGGGCTGTATATCCTTATTAAGATATGCTAAATGTGTAAGGTTATTATTAGGTTATAAGATGTGAAAAAAAGATAATTATTTGTCATTTAAGGAAAAAGGTTTTTTTTTTTCATAACACTCAGGGATATTTCTTGGAGAATTTCCACAAGTGTGTCATTCAACATAAGCTGCTTGGGAGCCTGAGGCAGGAGAATTGAAATACAGTCTGAGCTACCACATACGTTTAAGTCTGGCCTGAGAGACTTAGCCAGACCTTGTCCACAGTTGCTGGGGGTGGGGCTAGTGAGATTCCTCTCCTCCTAGGGTCCTGCTGGCAGTTAATGGTTGCTAGGGAAAGTGACAATTAGCAAGCACTGCCCTGTGCTGAAACACAGATTCTTTCCCCAAGTCACCTTGCAGGCCTGGTTTTCATCTTTCATGGGCCCCTTGGGGCCTGAATTCCATTAGAGCTTTTCAGCAGGCCCTCAGCCACAAAGGTGCTGGCCAGTTTTGTTTTTCATTGAAATATCTTTAGTTCAGCCTGGGCTTGAACTCAAAGCAATCCTCCTGCCTCAGCCTCTTTAGTGCTGGAAATACAAATGTGAGCTGTCATACTCAGTTTAAGATTGCAACTTTCTGGAGAATTTGCATAGTAAGGGCTTTTCAGGACACCGAGGCATGCGGCCTTCGGGTAAGAAAGGTGATTGACTTGCAGTGTTCATTCTTAATTACCACTCGAAGGTGTTCTTACTCTACCCAGTTCTCTCCATATGAAAGCCCTGCCTTGTTGCCCACCATTTCCTATATGATAGACCAAATGTTTGGTGTACCAGACATTTTTTTTTGCATAGGGTTTTAGGCTATATAACTCAAACTAGCAAGCCTCCTGCCTCTTCTTCCAAAACACTGGGATTACAAACATGTAGAACACAGCCATCCTGGGCACTTTTGAAATTTCATTTTCCATATTTCAACCTGACATCCTAGCTTCTAGTCTCATTGCTCTTTACATTAAACAAAAACCTTTCACAGCTGAAAACTACACTTCCTCTCTCCTCTTGCCAACTCCCATTTTGAGATCTAGCGTGAACATTGTGTTTATCTTGTCTTGACTATTCCACACGTGCTTTTCCCCACAGTAATTTCTAGCCCTTAAGAAAAACCCTATAATATTAGAGAAGTTTGAGGCTTTTTCCTTCCCTGGCTTTTCAAAGGTGGGTTTCTGGGGCGGCATAGAGCATGTGAACTGTTCCATACAAGCTGCTTACTTAAAACACAGAAACAATACACTGGCAACTATAGTTTTTTTTGAGTTTGTCTCTCCTGCTGAGAATACCCTAAGATTAACTTTTGTTGTCTGTGAGTCTGCCTGGCCTCACACTAGCTCTGTTTCAGCCTTGGCCTCCATCCAGAATGCTGGAAAGACAGGGATTTGTCAGTGCGCTGGCTAAGAATGCCCCCCAGATTAAGTGAGGTCCTAAGGACTTTCCAAATTTTCTAATCCCCAGACCCCTACCCCGATAAGTGGTATTTTTTTTTTTAATAAAAGCTGGTCTCTGACAGGTTTATTGCTGGCAATTTAACCAAATTAGGAGGTTTTTTGTTGTTGTTGTTGTTGTTGTTTTTTCGAGACATTGTTTCTCAGTAGTTATGGAGCCTGTCCAGGAATTTGCTCTGTAGACCAGGCTGGCCTCGAACTCACAGAGATAACGCCTGCCTCTGCCTCCCTAGTGCAGGAATTAAAGCCATACTGTCACCACCTGGCCGGAGGTTTTGCTTTTTTTTCTGCCAAAAATCACATGTAAAACTTTGTCTTATGAAACACACTGGTAAGGAAACAAGACTTTTGCCAATATGAGAGTTTGTAAGTGGAGGAAGTAAGTCTTAGCTTTGGGCTACAAATTACCGAGTTACTGACTGATGGGGTGGGAGGACGGACCCTGAAATTGTGCTGGGTGGGGCCGTTACTTGGCCTTAGAATGTACCCCTCCTCTCGCCAGCCATCTTAAAAATGCTCATGGCTTTACAGCTGGTGTCATTATAGAGACAATCAAAATGCGGGCCCTGTGGGGTGTTGTGTCAGAGACAAAACCCAGCCATGTGTTGCTCCACCGAGTTGGAAACTTTCCTCCTCGGTTTCTCCACTCTCTGAACACAGGGCTAGCCCTCTCTAGCGGAGGCAGACTTAGGCTTTCACGATCTCTCGGGTTCCTCCTGTGGCCCTGCGGCTCCTCCACAGTCCCATTTCTCTTTCAAAGTTTCCCAGCCGCTTACTTTTTCCTTCCCACCCTCTTCTTTTCCCAGCTAGTTCAGCCCGCCCCTAGCACGCACCACCTACTCTGCCTCACGGGAGCCTTCCCGCTTCTCCGCCCGTCCTCCCCACCTATCTCCCCGCCCTCCTCAGGTTCAGAAACCTCCAATCAAGAGGGCCGAAGGTGTCTCCAGGACCCGCCCCGTCCTCCCTATCCACCTCTTTTACCCCCAGTGCTCCCTCCCCCACCCCCCCCACCTCAAGTCCAGCGGACCCCAAGGCTTCTGGATCAGAGAGCTATGAAAAGTGTCTGCCCAGGCACTTCCGGTAAGGACGCTGTGGCGCGAAGCTCCCCGCGGGACCGTTAAGGAAGGGGTGACTGGTGGTGAGGGAACCCTGGTGAAGAGGGTGCTGGCAGGGAAGGGGTGCGGGAGCCGGAGCTCGAGCGAGCTGCCCGGAGCGAGCGAGCTCCGCGGGCTCTTCAGCCGCCTCGCGGCGAGCCGGCACCCCCGCCTCCCGGGCCACTCGGGTCCTCCTCTCCACCCCCCACTCGGCGAGGGTGACGCCGCCTCTCCACGGGTGCCGCGTGATCGGAAGTGGCGCCATCTTTAGCCTCTTGTGCTATTGACAATAACAAGCCTCGGCTCGCTCCCCCTCCCCCCTCCAGCCCGGCGTCTCCCCTCCCCGAGAGGGAGAAAAGGAGGAGGAGCTGCAAGCTTCACTGGCTCCCTGAGTCTCTCCAGCAGAAAGTGGGGGAGCGAGGCCGACAAGCAGGGGAGGGGGAGCGGCAGAGCCGTTTACCTGTCTGCCTCCTCCGCTTCCCTCCCCCGCCTCGTTCTCACTGCCGGTGGCAGCCTATCTGCCTTCCCAAGCCCTCCCATTCCCCGCGGTGTGCCCACCTCCACTTTTCCTTCTCGTCCTCTGTGTTTCTCCTCTCTTTCTTCCCTTCCCCCTTCAACATTTCCCCCTCTCCTCCACGCACGCAGGCACATAAACGTAGGTTTTTGATGCTCCTCTGCCTGTTGACCCCGCTATTTTCATGTTTCCAACAGGTTTTTCTTCCCCCAATCCCTCTGCTGCTTCTGCTGCTGCTCAGGAGGTCAGATCAGCCACTGATGGTAATACCAGCACCACTCCGCCCACCTCTGCCAAGAAGAGAAAGTTAAACAGCAGCAGCAGTAGCAGCAGTAACAGTAGTAACGAGAGAGAAGACTTTGATTCCACCACTTCCTCCACCCCTCCACAACCTAAAGATTCGGCGTCCCCTTCAACCTCGTCCTGCTGCTTCGGGGTTCCATTGGCCACTTCCAGCCACGTACCGATACAGAAGAAGCTGCGTTTTGAAGACACCCTGGAGTTTGTAGGGTTTGAAACGAAAATGGCAGAGGAAGCTTCCTCATCTTCCTCATCTTCGCCCACTGTTGCAACCTCACAGCAGCAGCAGCAGCAACTTAAAAATAAGAGTTTATTAATTTCTTCTGTGGCTTCAGTGCACCATGCAAACGGCCTGTCTAAATCATCTACCACGGTCTCTAGCTTTGCTAACAGCAAGCCTGGCTCAGCTAAGAAGTTAGTGATCAAGAACTTTAAAGGTAACCAAGGCCAAAATCCATAATCACTTGCTAAGAATTTGACACTTGAGCAGTCACGTGCGCTGTTGATGTTAATATATTAAACAGTATAGAGGTCGCCTAATGTTTTATGCATAACCAGCGAGTGGAAGGGAGGCCCTATTTTTGGTAGCGGGTTCCTTTTCTGGGGTGTTTGTGTCCTTGCTCTGAAGCACACACTTTAATGTTTCCGTGCAATGTTTTTAAGGTCTGTTTCAATCCATTATATCTTATCTGTTGTTCCTTAAAACACAGTATGGTGCGGATTTTACAGGTGAGAAACTTGTCTAAAGAGGAACATTTTAGGTGCATAGCGAGTCTTGGTACTACTGAGATTTTTATTTTTATAGGCCACATACTCCAGCCCCTAAAAATGCAGGTACAAGGTTGATAGTTTTATGTACGAATGAAATTTATAGTTAGGTTCTTAGTATAGAGAACCGTGTTTGTGAAACTCACTGTGGGAGGAGTATTTGGTGGAAAATCTTTGGGTTTTTTTTTTTCTGTATTTCTTCCTAAAGGTAAAGTCTGAGTGAAAACGGCTGTGTATACTCAGCAGCAGGGACTCAACCACGAAAGCTAGAAATAGTTAACTGCATCTTTCTTCACGAAAACGTGCGTTCCAAGGGTTGACCTGCAGCTATTAGGAAATTGGAGCGTGCTGTGTTTGAGATTACTGATTCGGAGTGTGGTGTAGGCACCAGTGAAAATATAAAGTCACCATTTAAAATGTATTTGAGCTAAGTTCTTATCTGTTGAATGTATCTGTTTTTCTGATACTTTTTTTCACCATCCTCAGCTAGCACATAATAGATGCTAGAATGTTTCTTAAAGCTGGGGAAGTAAATGAATGAACTTCGGTTTTACCAGAAGTGTCCTGTTCCTAAGTATTAGCACGGGGTGAAGTGCTTACTCTGTGTCTGTGCTGGAAACGTTGCTGTGGAAAAGAGCAATGTGCTATTTGTCTAGGGAAGGGGCTTATAGTATTGTCTGTTGTTAACCCTTTCTCTTCTTGTATTACCCTCTCTCCACCCTCAGGGTTACATTCTTTTTGATTTCCTTGTAGAGCTTTCTAAAGTGAATATGAGCTGTATCTACAAATTCATTCATTACTTCACTTAAAGATAAATGATTTAATAGGGAAGGATTTTTTCAAGAAATGAGCTGTGATCCTAATTGCATTTGCAAATTAATTTCAGAGTTTATTTTTCTTTCTCCTGAAGGCATTAATGCATTTGGAATCTTTAATTTGTTTCACCTATCGTTGGTGAATAAAGTTTAAAGTCTAGATTAAGGTTTCTTTTCAGTCTGAAAATACCTTATTGGTTCTGGAGCCATTTGGGTGCTGGTTTGTTTTTAAATTTTCATTCATTTCCCTCCTTTTCTGTGACTGCTGCATAATTAGGGAGTCAAACAGACCTAGATTGGAATCCCAGCTTTGCCACTGACTAGCTATGGTGGCCAAATAAGTTCGAGACTCAGTTTCTTAAGTTGTAAAATAGAGGTCTTAATATTCACTGTGGGCATTTTATTGGGAGAATTTCTAAGAAGTTTCTAAAACACTTTTCACATATTACATACTCAGTGTTTTAAATCTTCACTACAAGATTTATGTCAGCTTCAGTTTTACACATGCTAAAATAAGATCAGGACTGCTATTTTTATCTATCATTCTTGAATTTTTTTTGAAGCAATGCAGTCAATAGGAGAAAAAAAACCTTTACCTTCAGTTTTCATAGGTGAGTCAAAATGACTTAATAGTATTTTGGCATCTTAAATTTTGTTTATACTGAACTTTTAATATTGAGTTATAATAAATACTCAATATTACTTTAATATTGAGGTATAATAAAGGTCCTAAAATAGCAATGCTGTTTTATTTTATAGTTCTTTAGTTACCGTATCCTGAATATTTTTCTAATAATTTTTTGCATATTATTTAGATAAGCCTAAATTACCAGAAAACTATACAGATGAGACATGGCAGAAGCTGAAAGAAGCCGTGGAAGCTATTCAGAATAGTACTTCAATTAAGTATAATTTAGAAGAACTCTACCAGGTATGTATTAGTGTATAAAACCAGATTTGAATACTATCAGTCAAGATGGCAAGCATTTGTATTTTCCTGCTTTAAAGATTTGTGTGTGTATCCATGTGTCCGTGCTGAAGCATGCGTGTGCCTGTGAGTGCAGATGCCCTTGATGTCCAGAGGCTTAGGATGCCTCTAGAGCTGGAATTAAGTGGTTGTCAGCTGCCTGACAAGAGGGTGCTGGGAATCAAACTTGGGTCATGGAGGAGTGCTCTTACCTGCCGATCCATTCTCCATACCCGTGTGTTTTACCTTTCTGAACTATGTTCTGTAGTAGATTCTTTGGTTCATTACTAGTTAATTGCTACCTTCCATTTTATGGTCACAGCACGTAGCCTTACTTAAACTGGGGATACATAATTGGACACTTCTGATAAGAACTCAGTTAAATTTTGGGATAGTTGCAGTATGAGCTAAACTATAATGCTATAGCAGAGATCCTAGAAGTTTTTTCTGTGGGATGTCATTTCTGTTACGGCATTCTTTCATAGTTCTGTTACCCACCTTAGAACAGCCTCAAGACATGCAGCTCTTCACGTTCTCACATCCTTTGTTCTGACTTACTCTTTTTTTAAAAAAATACATTTATTCTGTCTGTATATGTGTATGGGTAAACCATGTGTGGAAGTCTTAGGACAACTTAGGGGATTCAGTTCTTTCCTTCCGCCCTGTGGGTCCCAGGGATAGTAAGTGCCTTTACCTACTGAGCCATCTTGCCACCCCTCACCTCCTTTAAAGAACTTAATTTAGGGCTGGAGAGATGGCTTCATTGTTAAGAGAAGTGGGCTGTGTTCTTCCAGAGGTCTTGAGTTTCCTGAGTTCATTTCCCAGCAACCATATGGTGGCTCACTACCATTCATAATAAGATCTGGTGCCCTCTTCTGGCCATTGGCATACATGCAGACAAAATACTGTATACGTAATAAAAAAAGAACTTAATTTAAAGAAAAATTGTGTGTATATGAGAGAGTGTAGTGTGTGGGGGTGTTAGTTCACATCTGCGTCTCATGTGGAAGTCAGAGGACAACTTGCAGAAATTAAACCCTTCTACCATGGATGTCCTAGGTATCAGACCCAGGTTGGCAGGTTTGGTGGTAAGCACCTTTACCTGATGAACCATCTCCTTGGCCCTACCTGATGCTTTTTTTTTTCCCCTCGAGACAAAACTTTTCTATATAGCTTTGACTGTCCTGGAACTCATTCTGTGGACTAGGCTGGCTTTGAACTCACAGAGATCTTTCTGCCTCTGCCTTTTGAGTGCTAGGATTAAACTTGTCTGATGCCACTGCCTGGGGCCTCATTCTTTCTTTATAATTATTATTATTGTTGTTGTTGTTTTTAAGACAGTTTCTCTTTTGCTTTGGAGTCTGCCCTGGAACTCAGTTTGTAGACCAGGTTGGCCTCGGACTCACAAGAGTTTCACCTGCCTCTGCCTCCCAAGTGCTGGGATTAAAGGCATGTGCCATTACCACCCAGTGTCTGTCTGTCTCTCTCTCTCTCTCTCTCTCTCTCTCTCTCTCTCTCTCTCTCTCTCTATTTTCGAGACAGGGTTTCTCTGTAGCTTTTGGTTCCTGTTCTGGAACTAGCTCTTGTAGACCAGGCTGGCCTCGAACTCACAGAGATCCGCCTGCCTCTGCCTCCCGAGTGCTGGGATTAAAGGCGTGCGCCACCACCGTCCGGCTCATTCTTTCTTAATGTAGCTTTTTGTACTTTGAGTTTTTTTCCATCTGTCAGTCTACTTCAGAAATGAGCAGCAACTATATATAGTCCAATACCTTAACTTGAGGTTATTTGCTTTTCCCAATTTTCCAAGAGTTTTCCTCACTGCAGTTTTGACACAACTAATTTAAGAAGCTCTTTTCCTTATATCATCAGCCATTTGTATTTAAAAATAACTTCTGTTTAGTAAACTTGTAAGAAATTAATGTTCAATATCTCAGCATTTGCATTTTTTGTGTTTTAGTTGTAGAGTGTGAATCTGTTGATGACAAACTCTGGCATAGGAGTTAGAGGCCACATTTGGATCTAATTTTCACTGTGACTGCCTTTCTAATCTTGGACAAAACAGTAAATAAACACCCTCAGCGTTACTTTCCTCCACTATAAAACAGGCAAGCTACTACCTGCCTTGTCTTTTTCTCTCGGTCGCTAATCTAATAATCAAATAAGATATTTGTAAAAGAAAACAACACGTTAATGAAACACTATGATAGACCAATAGAGCTGATGTTAGTTATAGTCACATATTTTACAAACCACAGTATACCTTTTTTTAAGTCTGCATTATGTTAAATTGAGATCGTTGGTTTCTGTTGCTGTGAAAATTAGTCAGTGTAAGCCCAACACAGCAGTCATCAGCAGGTAGAGATGCTGTATAAATGTCAGCTGGCGGGGACAGTAGGGTAAGTCCTCCTCATTTGGCTCTTTTGGCATAGTTTAGACATGCCTCCCGAACTGTAAAATAACAGAAGTAGAATTGAGAAATAGAGTGAGAAAGGTCTTAAAGAGTCTGTGGGGTCAACATACTGTGTATGGTAAAACCTACAAAGCACATCCATTTTCTAGTAGTTCATTTAAAGCATTATACTCTTAAATATATAAAATAATAGTTTTTATCACCACTGTAACAAAAAGGAGACAGAGTCTCAGAATTTAAATAACCCACCCAAAGTTACTTATTGGCTGAACAGGGAAAGTAGAACTAAGATGTTTTATTGTTAACTCCAATTGATTTTCCACTACTGTGCTGCTTCACTAATAACACCACAGCACCTTAAATACCCACTGTACAACAGTGTTCAAAACAGCTTTAGGGAAAAAACTATCGGAACAGCCACTGTGCTTCCATTTGTATATGTAGTCTTTATTTGGGTAAGCTGGTGCACAGCCAGTCATTGTAGCTATTAATGAGCCCTATTCACCTTAAATATTTTCCCTGAGTTTTTGATTTGACGATATCTTTGACATGTTGATTTTAATTCCTTGCGTGCTTAAAGAACATACCTAATTTTTTTGTATTTTTGTGCTGCAGCCAGCTGCATATCCAAGACTGGGGGTGGGGTATTGAGACACGGAAGCTTCTTTTCAGGTGAAAGAACAGCAACCTTTATTTTGCCCAGCAACCTTTTATACTTCTACTCCTGTGGAGACCCACGGGTCAGAAAGAACACAAACATCCTTGTCAATTACAGACCACTAGGAAGTTCCACCATCAGTCAGGGGGAGCAAGGGCAGCTGGATCACAACATTTTTGCTTTCTTTTTTTTTTAAAAAAAAAAGATTTGTTTACAGTGTTCTGTCTGCATGTATACCTGCAGGCCAGAAGAGGGCACCAGATCTCATTACAAATGGTTGTGAGCCACCATGTGGTTGCTGGGAATTGAACTCAGGACCTCTGGAAGAACAATCACTGCTCTTAACCTCTGAGCCATCTCTCCAGCCCCTATTTTTGCTTTCTTGTATTTAATTTTACTTGCTGTTGGATTTTTTTGTCCTGAAGTCACAAGTACATAGTAATAGTAGGACATGCCTGTAA